CCCGGTCCGATCACATCTGGGTTAACCTGAAGTAACTGAGAGACTGACACCTTCCAACAACCCATGCCAGGACTTAGGCCCAGTCGTTACTCCTTGTACGAATTGCGGATCCCGGTAGGACCCGCCTATTGACTAATGAAACTAGAGGTGCCTATCCCTCTCTAGCTGTTTGGAAGTCAAAGATTAAGAATTCTCTGAATTCGAAGAACGAACACGGCCATGGCAGGCGAGGGAGATCCATAAATGAAAGACGAGAGCGAGGCTCTCTCCTCAGAAGGTTTTTTTCGTTACCAGCGGTTTTTACTGCCAAGAGGAATCGATTCCCACTGTCTTCGTACTCTACACGAAGCTAGCTGACGGAGCGTTGTGAATTCTCCAAGTTCACCAATTCGATAATGACAGAAAGAATGGGAACTTACAGATCCCTACTTCTTTGAAAGGCTAGAAAATCGCTAGTGGGATAGTATGATATTCCCATGTACGTATCAGCGGACAGTGGGATAAGCGCTGGAGTAGACATTAGCAGTTACCGAAAAAGGGCCAGCGGGCACCGAGCAAGGGACACTGCCCTTTTGTGCGGACCGGCCGGGAGCCGAGTCACAAAAGGCCCCTCGTCAAGTATTGCACCTAGAGCGTCGAAGCCTTTATTTAAGGAAGGGGGGCGTTCGTCAGTGCTTTACTACTCCAGAAGTCCTCTCTATCGGGTTCACGCTCGAAGCATACTGAAATGTATTGAAAATTGCCTTTTATGTGGGACTACCAGCCAGGTACATAGAGCCAGACGCACTCAAATCTTGAGTAAGGTTCCGACCTACATTGACCATTTCGCCTGGACCGGAAGAGGCATCTATGAATTGACTGCCATAACGTAAGAACCTACTAAAAGATTGAAGCATCATGGAGAGGGAGTTAGGCACTACCTAGCCCTACGCCCCTTTTCCTGTAGTCGTCAGCTCGTTCTTGACAGATCCTTTCGGGTGTTCATAATCTGGAGTAAAAGGATTCGAACCTTTGCATGCCGGTACCAAAAACCGATGCCTTACCACTTGGCTATACTCCATACGGCCTGTTTTGGACGATAGAAGGGAGAGAGGGGAAAGGAGAAGGAGGGCTCGAAGAACGAGCCGTGCAAGAACGCGGGGCAAGTAAGCAGCAAGGTTCTCCCTTTAGGACCGACTACAACAAGCTCGCGACTCTAATAGAAACAAAGGGTAAGCTCTCTGCTCTATTTGCTTGCTATACCTATCAAAGTTGGCGAACGCTTCTTGTTCTCGCCCTCTTTTGATTTTCTTATTATTTTTTAATAACCTAGACTAAAGAAGAAGCTCCTGAATCAGCGCAGGGCCAAATAAGCAGCAGGAGAACTTGACTAACCTGCCGCCGGTGACTTTAAGAAAGAGGGTCCAATTTCTAATGAAGCGAAGGTCCCCCTTACTCCCTATTCTCTCTTAAAGCTAGCTCCGCGAGAAAGGGTTGGTTAAGAACTATTGACTGTAAACCATAGCAGTTACACTCACTCAATGGAAATGTTCGCCTTTGGAATGAAGATGGATGAGCAGGCACTTGAGCCTGGACCTGATGAAATTCGGGGGAAAGATGTCACCGGTCACTATACTGGGGGGCGAGACATGACCGCGACTTAAGATTCAAGTACCGTTGAAAAGACTAAAGGAACGGGGGGAATGACTACCTGTAAGAAAGCACAGGCTAATACGAGCCGACCAGAATAAGCAAGGCTTATATTACCAGATCCTGGACACAATCTTCCTAGAGATGGAGAGCCCCTTGCCTCGCCTTTTATAGGTTTTTTTCTGAGGGTCGATTTTTCATTTACCAATGAATTGGATCCGCCCCGATTCGATCAATAACAATAATGGGATTCTTGGCTAGAAGAAAGGTTCTGTGACATGGACGCCCAACTCGATCGGTCGGTTGGCCCACCTAACAGATGATGAGATTCTCGATCGATTTGATCGAATTTTGAAAACTCTTTCTCACTATTAAGAACAGTAGAGCTTTCGATCAAGATGTTCTCGCCTCCCCCGTTTGGGCTCTCGCTCGAATCGGAACCTTTATGCGTTGGTAGGCTTTCGACTCAATCTAATAGCCTACCTATCAGGCGCCAATAAAAGAGAAAGTTTTCGCATGGGCTTATCATCTGATGCAGAACTTATTTCATAACCACCATCCATCACCAATCACATTCCACATCCCACTTCAAACTTTTCGATTCCTCGGGCAGCCTCCTCTAGAAAGGCATTCCAGCTTCAGAGGCAGGTGAGCCGGGTCAGGAAGGAGTTTGACTGCTGGGATCGGATCCTATTCGAAGCACTCCACCACGAATAAGAGTCTTTGGGTTGGATAGGCAGTAGAGATAGGAGTTCCTATCTATAGGGCGGGCTTTCAAGACAGAGATGCACTACTCCATCTGGAAAGGGCTTTTCCAGAAGGGAGTCAATAAATCAATAGAAAAAATCCCTTCCCGGCCGGCGGGACTCTACGTCTGGGTCTTATTCCATCTCAAACTCGGATTAGGAAGAGTGCCCTTGAACTAAAGATCAATCATAATAAACAATACAAGAAAAGAAATGGATTCTCCTGCCGGCGAGAAGGGGGAGATAGGGAAGAGGAGATTAAGGATAGATATTCACTCCACTCCATAGATAGTGAACACAGATTTTTGTTTCATTTTCAATTCCTTTCGGGTCCGCGGACTGCTGGTGGGTTTTCCTTCCATTTTCCCTCTTCTTCCGCTCCGGAATAAGGAACCTTAGAATTCACCCTACCTGTCGATGAAAAAATGGGATTTTATAGGACCACCAGCTAGCGGATTAGAAAGATTTTTATGGAATGTCCTACTCCTGCCTGAGTCACTTAAAGATCTTAGGCGCTTTCGTGTGAATTGAATGAGATAATTCGCAGTAATTGATTCACGAAGCCGCTCTTTCAAAGTCACTATCTCTATCATAATAGAAGCAAGCTCAAGGCTAGGATGAATTAGCTAACGAATTGACTAGGAGAATGATTCTTGAATAAGGTGAAACTTTTCCTATTGCCCACTCCGCTCTCTCTTTGACCACTACTTACTGATTAGCTGGGAATATTCTTGCTTCTTGCCAGTTAGCTCTCCAGGGAGCTAAGGCAGTTACTGATTCAATTCTTTCGTAAGGGCAGGCTCATGGCGATAGGTTCTTTCAGTAGAGTATCTATAATCTAGGTATCAGTAGACGGAATGAGTCTGGTAAAGCTCTTTTGGCTAGCTCTTGGTCTGGGGAAGCTTTTTACTAGATAGGTATAAGATCTAAAATAATTAGCTTTGGGTCACGGCTAAACGTTGTAGGCCTAAGCGCAGTTGTCGCTCTTGGAGTCTGATCAGTAGGGGAGAAATTCACACCGGGAAATCTCTTTCTTAATAAAGAAGCAACATCCTAATCATACCCAGCCCCTGGCCGAATCAATACCCGGAGAATGGTAAATGGCAAGAAAGGGGCGGCAAGATCCGACTTGAAACTTGAAAGCGAGTTTGAATGGGCTATCAGAATTCCAGAAAGGTATTGCTTACAGAGGGCCAAAGAAGAATGAATTTCATTTTTGCCCTGAGACAACTCAATCAAACTAGTGGTATGCGACGTGACTTGGATTCGACTTCTTAACTCATCAACTAGAATGAGAAGTTGCAGTTCAAATGAATGCGGGGCTTTACCCAGTTTCACCGAGGGTTTAAGCGGTGATTAGGGACTTTCGGAACTCTAAGCCTTTTAACTAAAAGGGAAATCCAGCCTTTTCAACTAACGAGAATCGAACTGTCATTGAAAGCAGACGCCATCAGATCCAGCTCGAATGGAATCTTTGGACCGGCTAAGCGAAGTTTAAGGAATAACTGAAGCTATCTCATCCAGGCGGAGAAGGATATCTTGATGAAAGGGAAATGGCTATTCCGGATTCGACGTCTTGCTTCGACGTTTTGGAGGAAGGGCTGTTAGGGCAAGGGCTTCAGTTAAATTAGCTTTCCCCAGCCTCGTTCGGCTAAGCCGGAAAGAGTTATCTCACTGGCTGAACGAAATAAGGAGCAAAAGCCGGATCTTCGAACTTAAGAGCAGAGAAAACCTACTTCCTTCAGTACGGGAAAGAGTTGCTCTTTCTGCTTTAGGTGCAGCCAGTAAGGGCCTTAGCAATAAGATTAGGAATGGGCCTAAGCGCAGGAAGGGAGCAGGGAGAAGCAGCGGGGAGAAAGAAATCGTCTTGAGGTAGAGGGGTAAGTTACCGACAGTCTCGATCCTCAAAGGAAATAGGCGCTACCATAGTCACAAAAGAGATTCCATATTACCACCTATCCATCGATTGATCATCCCAGTTTTGTTACTCAAGATTGAGATTGTCGGGGCACCCTTCTTTAAGGTATGATCCAGGAGCGGACCAAAAACAACCTATCTTGCTGCTCCGAGTGCCTACCCCATAGCTGATTTCTTTTTATTATGCTGATATTTTTCCCCAAAGTAGTGGAGAGACAAACCGCATTTTTGGAAGGATTTCCTCCTTGTTGAGGCAAATCTGTTTTTTATTGTGCCATTAGGCTTTAGTATGTAATTTTTCGCAGAACTCGAAAAGGATTCATCGTGTAGCACTTTTATTGTATATAATAGTCGAATTGATCGCCTTTGAGAAGTGGGAAGAGTTGCGGTTGTGAACTCGCGAATCATCTTGCTTTATTTCATTTCCGAGTTCGGGACAAGGAGGCATTCGGGTCATTAGCCATAGGCGCCTTACCACGATCGTAGCCCTCCAGCGCAAGCATCTGTCCCGAGACAGTCTTTCTAGAGTCAATCCTCTCCTAAACCTTTAATTGGCTTTCAAAGCAGTTAACAGAATCCCTCTCCGAAGCTGCGAACGGACCTCCGCTTGTCAGCTCTGCTGTAATCCTTCTACCCATCGCTTTCAGCTCACCTTGAAGACTGTCACCCTAGCCTCTCTACGGACTTAATCTACCCTATCTTATCGGCTCACAACCTAAAGGTTTCTGTACGGGAGGAGAGAATTTGTCGCGGGGGAGGAACAATAAATGCTTTTGGCGAGATTAGGGCTCGGAGTGGCTGGCTACCGGCGGTGCTTCGGTAATCATCCTCGCTGGTGACACCCCATAGTAGGACATGCGACATTTTCAAGTTCCGATTTCCATCCTTAACTGACCATGGATAATGGCAAGTTCAAAAAGCATCTAGGATTATTCTGTGTCAGAGACCGGCGATCCTTAATAGCCTAATTTTTGATTCAATCTGGTATTCGCCTAAGGGGCGGGGCTAGCGGGTAAGGCAAAGGCAAAAGGGGTATCAGCAGTTCGAGGAAGAGTTCCATAAGGGGGTTCCCCACAAGCGTTCTATAGAAGGGTTAAAAAGGAGCTAATGGGCTAAAGGGCAGACTATCAGTAGTAAGACCCACTCTAACGTGGTGGATAAGGCGCTAACAATCTCTAGTTCTTATCAGTGCTTCGATGGCGATCCAGATGAGCCAACCGATCAAAACGAGTAAGAGTCCCTTCAGACTAGCAGTTTATAATCAAGCAGTTGATTCGGGCAAGTTAGTTTGACAGCAAGCTGACAAGGGAAAGAGACTTAGCTAATCTAGCTTAGATCTTATCTTATAAAGCTTAGGAAAGTGGTGCCTTACGCAAGCAAGCATCTTTTTTCTTTCCCAAGGCAGGATAATATGAATATAGATAATTCCCTGAGAGGGCTAACGATAAGAGAGCTTCTATTCATCCTTCTTTACCTTTGTTTCCCTGGGAGCCTGTTCCATTTTCAGTTTTGTTTGAAGGTAAGCCATTGTGTAAGCAATTTATTTAGGGAGTCTCAAGTAAGCCTTTCCCGCTGGTGTAGCAGTAGTGAATCTTTCTCTCAAGCAAGCCATTGGGAATTCTCTTGTGAGTTCTCTTGGGAGTTGCCTCCAACCAGTGCTAGTTGCCTTCCTGTAGCAGTGGTTAAGACTTAAGTGCTCTTTCCTAGTCTCATTCCCCAGAGTCCCCTTGTCGCATCTTTCTTCTAGTCTGTAAATAGTCAGAGTGTTTTTATGGAAGAGTGCCCCATATCTGTCCTTTTAGTCTGTGTAAGCCGGAGTGGATTTTTTATTAAGGGAGGTAGGAGTTCGTTACAGGGAGTGGTGCTAAGGTTTTAATTCTTTTTAAAAAAGCGCTAAGTCTTTATTTTGATTGTGATAGTAGGTCTAGGAGGTTTTGAGGATATGGATACGAGCAAAGAAAGAGGGTTTGACCATTGTGAGTGTTAGGGTAAGTGCATCCTGTTGAAAGCCTATCTAGTTCTATTTAAGTTCTCAGCCATTCAGTATGAGTTGGATTCCTTGGTGTGATGCTCAGGTCTTCTTTAAGCGAG